GCTCGAACAAGAGACAAGTCTGGCAGCCTGAGTCCTGCCTACTGCTCTTTCATTGACGCTGGCCAAAGAATTGTGGCAGATATAGTATAAATGGCAACGTGTATTTGTTTTTCAGAGGCATATTGGCCAGAGGAAATGCAGTCTATCTGGCCTGGTACTGAGAAACAGCAGTATGTTAAAAATGTTGGATGTATAAAATGGGGTTAAATACTTCACATATTTTAGCGTCGAAAAATACATTGTGAATTCTAGAAGAGTTATTAACAGCGTGCTGCGAACGTAGCTGGTGTAACAAAGCCCTTACTTTCTGCAGTTTAAAGGTTGCTATAAAAGGATCTTTGTTTTGTAATGCATTAGTCTTGATTTTCAGTGTTTTCTACCATTCAGAACTAACGGAAGAAAAAAAATGTGTTGCTGTTAAAAAGCGTATGCTAGAATTTGTGATAAATGTTGCGGGGGCATATTATTAGTTCAGAGGATCTCTGGATTTACAATTTTGTATGTATCGTGCTTGACACGTGTTGGCTCAGTACTGAGAGGCTGTTAATTTCTTTGGGTAGCGATATGTTGATAGATGCTCCATCCATAAGTAAACTGTGGGAGTGAATGATTTGACTCTTACATTTGCCTTAAGTCACATTTTAACACCCTGTGGATCTATAGAAATCTGTGCTAAATTTACTGCTAAGAACCTTCATAAGAATGTCTTTGAGAAACAAACATTCTCCAGAGAAAATCCTGTTGATTTAAATCAAGGGCTTTTGAAAGGGGACTTGGCCCTATCAGTTTGGGGGGTTATTTGTTTGTCTTCAGCTGAGAAAAGGCCTCTTTCCAGAGGCTAGATGAACAAATGAGCCCTTCAAAAACCTTTCTGTGGAAAACATCTCTTGTTTTACCATCACTGGAAACACAGTACCAGGTTAAGACGCTGAAGCATTGGTCTTTCTTTAGCCGAAGCATCTATTAATATAGCTGCTGCTTGTAATAAAGAGGGAGGTCTGGAGGGCTCGGAGTGGAGCGACGGAGAGGGAGGGGATTTAGGGCTAACAGGTGGTCCTGAGACGTGCTGGCTGACGCTGAGCTCAGAGCCGGCGCACTCCGTGTGGGTATTCGTGGGCTTTCCTCTCTCTCGGTCTGGATACATGTGTCTGTTGTTCCCGGTGTAGCTGCGGAGCCCTTTCAGCTATGGCAATAAGAAATGACTTGAGGAAAACCATCAGGAGGATAGCACGTTTTTTTTACTGGTTCCCCAAATCGTTGAGCAGCTCAAGGAGGAGAACAGTAAAACTTCTCTGGAAGTCTGCTGGTAAGTCTGCTGCTACGTTTCTTAAGACTTTTTTTTCCTGCTAAAAAGAAATTCAGAGGGAAAAATAATTTATTTCCACTCAGCTGGTTAACTTTTCCAGGCCAGCATTGTTTGCATTTTTCCATTCTCTGAGGCTCATTAAGCAAAACTGTAAAAATATTTTGGACATGCAATAGAAGGTTCATTAGGCTTGATCAGATGAAGAATTCTCTTGCAGCTGTATAATTTATTCATATTAATATTCATATCAGTGATATTTGATGTCTTGTTTTTGTAGACCTTGTTTCTCCCTTAGGTATGTATGTAGGAGCTCTAATGTGACTCAAATACCTGCCAGAAAATTATTTGGAATTGCCTTAATCTGTTAATTGATCTAGAAAGCTGTGTGAAGGCAGAACTGACTGAACACCTTAGCTCATTGCACCAGTGCTCGCACACAGCAACGAGCAGCTTAGAGAGGAGCTTGTGTTCAGCGGTGATGCACTGCCCTTCGTTTCCATTTTATCAGCCGAAACGCAGTGCCGCTCCACTCACTGGTTAGTAAAAACCATTGCTCCTAACGACAGCTCAGCACTTTGATCCTTGTCCAGTCCTGGCGGAGAAGTGTTTGCACCTCTTGGATTAACCTTCTCATAAACCCCATGAAAGCCCAAAGGCTGTTGTGTCCCTCCATAGAGTGGTCTGTTAGAGCTGGGGCTGAGGTGTATTTTTGGCGGGGTGGGGGCGGGTGGAGGACCGTGCACTGCCATAGCTTAGGAAGCTGAGTTCATTCTGTTCTTCTTAAAGGACTGATTAGACAGGACCGGTTTTCTTCTGACGAGTACTGTTTTGCCTGTAGTAGTGAACTGGTCAATTCTGCAAGTATTACAATGTTAATACCAAATTTCCATTTGCATGGGATGGGACTTGGGTCAGTTCTGCCACTGAGGAATTTAGTGTTGCACTTCATATAACAGATTGGTGACTCTGAGAGGGGAAGGCCAAGCTGGACAACCTGAAATCTATCACAGAAACATTGTTGGGCCACCTGTCTAAATGACATTGTGACTTCTTCCCATGTGAAGGAGTCCACGGGTTTCAAAGGTCCAGGGGGAAATCCCAGTTCACTGAAGTCTGTGGCAAAATTTCCCTTGACTAAAACTAGAGCTTTAGTTAACCTTTGTTTGAATATTGGTAATCTCAACTCCTCCTAATACATAAGATCATCTCGAGTCCTCGTAACACATCAGATCATCCCTGCATCTCTTTTGTTACTGTAAAAGCCTAAATAAATGTTATTGAGAGCTTTAACTGCAAGCTGTATTACACGTGTGACATTGTTTACGTGCCAGTTATCTTTTCCTTCACTACTACAAAAGAATCGTTACATCTATGACTTGTAACAAGAAACAGTGTGAACTTGAGTGCTTTAAAAATAATACTTTTTGTGATTTTTCTCCCATCTCCCTCTACATCTAGTGGTCTGAATAGGATTTGCCTTTCTACCCTCATTTTAATATATGTATTAGCATCTCTTTTGAATTAAATTTGTGAATACTGTCAGAAGTGCCCTACATGTGCTTTTCTACCTGTGCAATGAGATGATTATCACAAAATTGTGGTTTCAGTGGAAACGTGACAGTTTAACACAAGGTTGCATCCGAGCAGAAAAAAGCTCAGTGTGAAAATTCAGCTCAACCTTCTCATAATTTTACAGAAGCCAATCTCATCGAGTATGCCTGCAATAAACTGGAAGCTGAAGCCCTGGTGCTCTTCTCACAGGGGAGGGGGTACAGCTCCTGTTTGCATGGACAATTCCTGTTTAGTCTTTACAAAGACAGAAAGTGGCATGAAACCTTAGCTACACCGAAGTCCATGAACATTGCTGCCTCTTTCTTGAGTGGCCAGAATTTTGCTTGGGTTCTTGTGGAATTACCAGATTACTCACATGCTTCCTTAACTCTGAAACACCACACTTCTGTAACTTTTAACCAAGTTGCTCTTCTGTCCTTCTGAGAGGGTTCTCCAATGTGTAAGCCTAGCCTGAGCAGTACTGACCATCTGCTTACCTTGCTACACAGAGATTTACCCTTGGCCCCAGCATACTGGAGTTTTCAACTTCTTATCTCTGCCTCTGTCTTTCGGCCAGTTTTTGCTCCTGAGTTGGCACTAACACAATTTTCTGGCTGGGTCAGCCAGGATGAGCCAGCAGAACAATTCTGCATTACTAGGCTTGTTCCACAGATGCATAACTCAGCTGATAAGTAAAGCTTTCAATAACACTGATAGTTTTTAGCCACTTAGGCTGTAACAAATAAATTAATGTTTTAACAACAACAAAGCTGAAACTTTCATGATGTGGATGTGTTAGGAAGAGTAGAGATTACATTCTCTAATACGTAGATTGTCGTAGATTTTATGACACCATACATCATTTGAACCAAGCGATGGGCACTGTGCCTCTGCACAGTACCCTCAGACCTGTTGCTTTCATTCTGCTTCTGTCACTCTGTGTCTCAGGATGCCTTGTCCTCTCTGCCTGACCCAGAAACAAAATCCGCTGAAGCACAAAATTAGTTTTTGACAATGAATTTAGTACTGTTGTAGGTCAGTGTGTTCAGAATGTTGCATTTGATGCAATTTTAGACAGAGATATCAAAGCATAATTAGGTTGCTGTTTCTAAAAATCCTTAGTTTTCCAGCCTGTCCTTGGGCGGATGCTTTGGGACTGTTGGTCACAAACTATTGCCTGCAGCTATCATTCTCCTTTCTGAGCTCTAAAAGAAGGAAGAAAATTCGAGGGTGCTCTTTAGTAACTGGTTTTGATTAAATTACTTATGGAAGGACTATAATGTCTTAGATGTGCTTCTGAATATACTAAATTTAGCTCATAATATTTTAAGTGCCTTTAGTTTAATCATGGGCATATAACATTTTCAAAGAGGCTGAAACCAAGCGTTGTAGTATTTAGGGTTTTGTAGCCTTTATTTCTTTGAAATGGGTTTGAATTTTTTTCCTGCAACATCTTCATAGAATTTGTGTGGACACTTCATGTGACTAGAAGTTTTATCATGATAAAGTACACACTCAGAAGTCAGGGAGGGGTACCGAAACACAAAGGAATTGGAAGAAATTATCATAGAGGCCCATGATAAGACTGTAGAAAGCAATGATCAAAAAAATCAAAATAGACAAGCAGCTCCTATTTTTTCTGTCTTAAAGCAGAGGAATAAGGTGAGGAGTGACAAATGTAAAGCAGATAAAAGGAATTGTTGTATTGCTTTTTATTCAGCATGTAATTGAATTGTGATACTCATTACCAGAGGATGCTGCTGAGGTCAGGAATGTAACAAGATTTAAAGAGGGTCTGGAAGAATAAGAATATTCAATATTATGACAATTGAAGCTACAAGAAAAGCTTTGAAAGAGACATAAATCTTCTTGCTTCAGGGTTTAAGCTAATTTTTAACAATAAGGGATTAGTCTGAGATAATTTTGTGGTTCAGATCCCCCAACTGTCATTGTTTCTTGCAGTTTCTTCCGAGCAACTAGAGCTCACCCTGGCAAAGACAACCTTATGATCTGCATTGATTTAAATCTTTATGACATTTTTCAAGCTAATACAGGAGAAAAACAGATTTTAGACTTCTTCAGCAAAGCATCCCATAATATCCTGTGGAAAACATGAAAAGCACAATGTTTGCTGTCATTTATTTTGCTTTGACAAGACGGCCCCAGTGGCAAAACCCTGCTCGCTTTGAAGCCATTATAATAAGTAAATAAATACAGCAAGTTAAGTCTGTTTGAGGTGGGCGATGCTTCTTGGCAGATCCTACTGGCTCATGACGAGCTTTGTTGTCAGCTCTCGGCTGGGGAGGGTTCTCATCAATGTGAGCTACTGACCTACTAGGTATCTTGGAAGGCTATTTCAGAAGGCAGAAAGCAAGAAGTTATTGACAAAATCTTAAACTAACCATATTTCACACAGCCTGAAGTTGATTTTTACCCTTTGCTGTTGGTTGGATTTTTTTTGCGTCTTTTCTGCTCTAGTGTGTTACCCCGTTAGTCATTCTCTAACATTAAAGTTAGGTTTTTTATTAATTTTGAAGGATTTTTGGCGAGAATGGTCAAGCATCCACTATAAAATCATGTTTATGTAAAAATATGTGTTATGCAAAATAAACAGAAACCTGTATGGAGGTATGGTGATATCCCTTAAACTTGCTACCTCCTAAAAGAATTCACATATAAAGGTTTAGCTGATCAGACAAAGAGAAAAGTCAGCCTTTGAACTCTCTCTCCAAAATATATCCAGCTGGCAAAATAAATCTGTAACACATACGGGAAGGGAGAACATAATTTTAGTGTGATATGTCAATTTAGAATGGCTTAGTTTAAAATATTTGTGAATTAATTTCTTATTTTCATATTTGGCCAGCTAATATATATGATAGCTTATGCTGTGAGTGCCTGTGTCCTTACGTGACCCCTTTAATTGGGTTATTCTGGGAACAGTTTGGGTATGTAGAGGTAGCATACCTAGCATTTGTGAGACCATGTAGCTGGGAAATTAATGAACAGATAATGCCATTGTATTTCTGTGTTCTTCTGAAAACCCAGCTGGTGAAAGCCACTGCCTCCCCTGCTCCCTTAGGACAGTAGCGTGTGGCACCTCTACAGTCCCTATAGACAGGTCCACGTCTCCTGCACGGATACCTGCAACGATCAGGTGAGAACCTATAGGTCTCGTGTGTTTTTAGTAAAAACATAAAGTTCGCCTGGCCATCCCCACAGTTCACTGAGGCCCCAGTTTTCTCCTGAGGATCAGCTGCGCTGTGCATAGGAGGAGCAATGCTCTGTGGTGTGATGGATAAGTCAGGACAAGCGAGGGCTTGCAGAGCTTGCAGAGGGGGACTCAGAAGGAGAGTGTCCATCTCTGGGAATGATGGAGAGAGTTTTGGCCCAACACCAATGATAAATGGAGTGTAGGGGCATTTGGGAACTGTGGCTCTGGAGCATTC